ATTCATTTTTTTTAAATGTGGTTTGATTCTAAATGGACAAATTATTTTGAGTATGATATAAACTGTTGGAATTTACCAATGTATTATTTGCTTTTTAAATTGCTCCTTTCATAACAGCTAAAAAGAAGAGAACAAACAATGGTTCCTCCACATCTTGGAATAGTTTATCTTGCAGAAGTTGTAATATAATCACGTACTTATTTTTTCTTTGGTATTGTGATATGATTATTCAACGTTTAATATATGTTGGGCTTACAAATAAATCTTTAGATGATCATACTTAGCTCTATATAAGACTTCCATTTTCTTTGAGCTTAAATATTAGGCAAATTCTCTTGTTGTTTTTACCCTAAGATGAATATTTCGAAAGGTTCAAATTTTTGCAAGAAATTAAAAGATCAGAACAATAAATCAAAAAACTCCTACTCAAGTTAAACATAACACATACTGCTTTTCCAGCAATGTGAAAAGTTGGCTTTTCCATCTATTCTGATAGATTGATTTGAATGATATCAAAAACTGATCTTAAGGCTAAAATAGAATAATGCAAACATTGAAAATGCTGCATTCAAGAGCAGTAGCACCCTGTCTCATGTAACATGCATATACTGAGTTTCTTCACTATGTAAAGGCCAGAGAAGAAATACAGAACTGATCCCCAATGTACTACAGGTCACCTTGTTACAAAAGCATGGGATATACAGAAATCAGAAGACAAAACCAAATCAACATGATAGTTCAATTGTAATACCAGTCAAAAAGAGAAAACGACATATTTATGTCTTTCATTTTTAGCAAATGAGAGGAACAAATGAAATTTACAGAAGATCAGAGTAGCAAAGACACTTTTTGAAGGTAGTTAAGCTTAGGTAAAAGTCACAGGCTGGCAGCTATGACTGTCATTATTTAGCCCCATGATGGTTTTTCTAAGTAGAGTTCCTTCAGACTGTCAGGAAAGTCACATCTCCTTTAGTAAACACCAACAAAAAATTTGTTTCTCCCCAGGGCATCTAGTGGGATACTTTCAAGCTGGGCAGTGAATAACTATTTGTTTTGTTGTTTTACAATAAAAGAGACCTTGGAAGCTTGTAATTTTGAGAACATTGCGTGAAGTATGTGTTTTGTTTATTTGTTTGAAGAAATACTATTTCAGCTTATAGGCAAGAGTTGACTATATATTTTTTCATGGGTCACTAAAAAATTGCTGGATGTGACAAAGAATAGCTGCCTAACAAGTTACATTCTGACAAAACTGCATGGTAATAGGATGAAGGGAAAACCTGATGCATTAGAATTCATTAGATTGAGCCATATGAAATTGCTGATATAGATCAAATTTAACCTCAAATGTACCCATTTAAAATTGAGCAACCTAATAATAATTAGAATCCATTTTGTCTCATTTGTGTCCGAAGCCCTCAAGACTGGGACTAATGCAACAGATGTCAATTATCCCAAAACTTTCCAAGAAAGGTGTTCGATGTTTTAACCAGCACAGTTTAAGAGATGCCTACATTGATTCTGCCTGCAGCGGTCACCCACCTCCAATCATAAAAGCATAGAGGAAGAAAATTAATGGAGGAGACTTCATTTAGAGAATGTGGGGGACAGTTGTCTGTTCTTTCTTCCAGGAGTAGGAGGAGAATGGATTCCTGCTATACTTTAGTGGAAAGAGTCAAAAGACAGCCCTCATCTCAACCTACCTAGGCTACAGGGAGCCTTCCTGTAAGCATTTTGAAAGGAAATTGATCCAAAACAATTCTTGGGTGACATAGTCTATCAAGGGCCTGACAGTTTGTGGATTCCGAGTATTATAATCAGTCAGGCACTCTGTGCATTACAGGTATACAGTAGGAGGCTACAGCGAAGGTATCTGCAAGACTCCCATAAAAGCAGATAGTAAAAAAAATCTGGTTGGGGCCTTGGCCAGTCTCACTGGACAGGAACATTATTTCACAAATGATTCAATATTGCTGTTTCTCTTTAAGCTCTCTCCTTGAGTCCTGTCTTAGAGAGGTCACATACTTGAATGTGTTGCTAATTATACAATGTAAAAACACAAAAGTAATGACACAGCATAAGCTGGGTTGCCTTGCCTAGACTAAGGTTCTCTTTCATTATCTCTTGCTTTTGCTATCACACTCATTTTGGTTCTTATTTTCCTCTCTTACTATTGCTCCTTTATTTTCCTTTTTGTTTCTGAGTTATTTATTAGGCCACCCCTTCCTATGGGAAGTTTAGATTCCAAATCAAGGAACAAGATTGCCACTTCTCTGTTCAGCCTATTAGATTTCTACCAGCTCTTCCAGCCTTGCTTAGGTGTCTCCCCTCTCACCCATACTCTAGAAATTCCCATCCTCCCACTAAACAACTCGCCCCACTACCATTTCTCTTTTTTTCCCAAGGGTCCTCTATGGGCGAAGGAACTCCTTATCTTCAGAAAGCTTTACATTGCCCGGGATTAAGTAAAACAAAATACTTATTAACTGTGATGACCTTTAGGAATGGCAGCAAGGAATATCTAGTAAATTTAATAAAAGTAATATTTAGATGGTTTCTCAATGTATATAGATTCTGTATCAATGCAGTTTCACATAGTAAGCACAAAACAATTTTGTCTTTTCAAATCTGGTGGCAATAACTCACAGAAGCCCTTTGACCTTTACTTCTGAATTATTTATTACTGTGACTGATTCTGCACATCATTTTGGATTCCGTCTTTCCCATGATCCTTAGTTGTCACAATTGCAACACATCCGAAAATGCTCTATGTTGAATTCTACTAAAACAGCTATAGAAAACACACTCGCTCACACACACACACAGCAAATTGCCTAAAAATTCAAGAGAATGTGGTGTCATGGCTAAACACCTGGTTTATTGATGGGAAAATGCAAGGGAACAACCAACTACTTTTATGAATAAAAGGATTTTAACAGAAGGTATCTTTACAACCTCACTTCCTGATTTTTCTTCCACTAAATGATAATGCTATCAACAATTCATGTACATAGAAAAGATTTTTATGGATGGAGACACCTGTTACTCCAAGAGCTGAGAATATCTGTGTCAAGGCACATCTGTAACCCATTCCCAACACTCAGATCTGGATGCTATGCGTTAGGGATTATTGCCAGGACTAGCTTCATTTAAAGTTTCTATAAGAAACCTGAAAGATGAAGTGCTCAGTAAAATCTTCAAGTTCACAGATGACACTAAGCTTCTCTGGGTAATTAAATGTCAAGCTGATAAGAATAAACTGCAGAAAAATCTTTCCTGCTTGTGTGTGAGGTCAGGACACAGAAGACGAACACCCCTACGGGTGTGTGAATATGGTAGGTTAAGAAAAAATAACCATATTTATATGATGATGACTCTTGAGCACCAGTGATTACACAGAATAAAGATTTGTGAGTCGTTATCCTTTCTTCCTGGAGGGCTCCACCTGAAGTCTATGGTGGCGAACACAGTTACCATTAATTCTGTGAATCACAGAGATGCTGCTGCAAATGAAGCAGAAACAGCAGCAGTTCACACACTCTCATATGTGTTACTTTGTTTAATTCTCAAAACAATACTGTAGGATCATTTCTAGTGCATTTACAAATCAGGAAAGTGAGAGTTAGGAAGTGATTTATCCTTGCAGTAAAGCATAGGACTCTGCAATTAGTTCCGGTTGCTGTACCTAAAGAAGGATGACATTGAAAAATGTTCAGAAATGGACATTTAAACTAAGGACAAGAACTAAAGAGGGGAAGAGATTTTTTAGAAAAGCATATACTTTACCCTTTTAAAAAAAGTAGGAATCCCGCCGGGCGCGGTGGCTCACACCTGTAATCCCAGCACTTTGGGAGGCCGAGGCGGGTGAATCACGAGGTCAAGAGATTGAGACCATCCTGGTCAACATGGTGAAAACCCGTCTCTACTAAAAATACAAAAAATTAGCTGGGCACGGTGGTACGTGCCTGTAATCCCAGCTACTCAGGAGGCTGAGGCAGGAGAATTGCCTGAACCCAGGAGGCACAGGTTGCGGTGAGCCGAGATCGCGCCATTGCACTCCAGCCTGGGTAACGAGCGAAACTCCGTCTCAAAAAAAAAAAAAAAAAAAAAAAGTAGGAATCCTTGATCCTGGAAAAATGATTTGAATACTGAACATAATATGGCTTGAATAAAGTTCTAGAACTCTAGATTTAATTAGGAAATACCATGATACTTAAAAATGATATATTACTTTGCTAATGCTGCCTTAACAAAGTACCACAGTTTCAATGGCTTAAACAGAAATTTATTGTGTCACAGTTTTAGAGGCTAGAAGTTCAAAGTCAAGATATCTGCAGGAGTGGTTCCTTTTGAAGACGACAAGGAAAGGAGATGTTACTTCTTTGGATTATAGAAACACATTTTCTTCTTGTGTCTCTTCACAAAGTCTCCCCTCTGTACGTGTTTGTCTCTGTGTCCAGATTTCTGTTTCTATTAGGACACCAGTCATAGTGAACCAGGGCCCTCCCTATTGACCTTATCTAAACTAATTATATTTGCAATGACCCCATTTCCAAATCAGGTGATTCCAGGATACTGAGTATTGGGACTTCAACATATGGAGTTTGAGGAGACACAATTCAACCCATAACAAATGGCAAGAAAGCAGGACACAGTGGGTGATATATTCATGAAAGTTACCAGTATGAATAAGAACAAGACCTAAAGGCTTTATGTGCAGATGAAAAACAAAGCGTTGAGAGAACAATAGCCAATAAAGAGATGTGAATGTTGATGGGAGGAGAATGTGTGTCAGTCTTAGCATTATAATCCTGTAGGGTTGTGGACAGCCATTGACATCACTGTGTTTTTGCACAATCAAGCAGTATTTGGGAGAAAGTCTGTGCTCTTTTCTCCTTGACTAACAACAAAACCAATTGATTTAGCCTAATATATTTGTACTGAAATTTATTTCCACCAGTTATTTACATTTTTATTTTTATTTATTTTTCTTTTTGTAGAAATGGGATCTCCCTGTGTTGCCCGGGTTGGTTTTGAACTGCTGAGCTCAAGCAAACCTCCTGTCTTGGCCTCTCAAAGTGCTGGAGTTAAAGGTAGGCGCTGTCTGCCTGCCAGTTATTAATATTTTTATCCCAGAAAAAGATTAGCCCCAAATATTTAAAAATATGGCTCACCACAAAACCTAAAGAATCTCAACTCTTCGATTGTATGGTGAAGACTTCAGGCTCGGCTTTCTCTTTCAGATCAAATAAAAACAAAAACACTTTAGACAAGTTTATACTAGATACTGTAATAGTGATAGTTTCTAAAATGTGCCTCAACCACATTTCTCCATGAAATTGAAGAAGTACTTCAATTAAATATTATTTTATTTGGGGTGTAATCAGCACCATACTACAATGTCACATATTATCTATGCTATGATGGCCTGCAAGATGTTTTAAGTTATGTAACATATCAAGGAAATTACAACTAATCCTTACTGTCTATAAGTAAGACATAAAGTGGTAGAGACAGAAATAAATTTTTACATATTTGTTACTGCATCCATCCTCTCCAGATATATCTTTAGTTAAAAATGATCCTCAATTAGTCTTGATTATAATGACACCTTATGCATAGGCCTGCATTATGACTATTTTATTAAGGTTATTGCCCATGAATTTATGGCTTGTAAGATGTCTCCACAATTATTTTTATTTTATGCTGATCCTCTGAGTCCATAGAAAAATAGAATTGACCATTTCCTTCTCTCACCCTTGAGTCTTCTGGCTTGTCTCTAGAGTGCCAAATGGCTGGGGGTCGATTGACAGCTTTGGCAATGTTAATGCAAACTCCAGGCAAATCTAACTGGTGGCAGAGAATTGATGATATGCAAATACAGTACTGGTACCCACAGACTTCTCTTCAGTGGCTGACCTAAATCAACTTCTGCTTTGTAGAGCAGAAAGAACATTGAAATTGTAGACACTGGTTTGCAATGCCCTTTAAAGGAGAAGCGATAACCTGAGACTTGGTACCAAATGGAATTTGTATTTGGCCTAAAATATGTGAATCCAAAAGTGTGAAACAGAGAGAAGTGCTGTGGGCAAGGAGAAGTGGTACAACTGCCCTACCAAAGGTTACTACCAAAGGTCAGGGGAGAAGGGACTTTATCTTCCTGTTAAGAGGATAGGAGAGCTTCCTTTTAGATATTTAAAGGAGGAGAAATAAGAATAAGACTTTTTTTTTTTAGCTTTCCACTTTTCATTTTTTGGGAGTACATACTAGGTACATATATCTACAGGGTGCATGACATATTTTGATAAAGGCCTACAATGGGTAATCATCACATCATGAAAAACGGGTTATCTATTCCATCAAGAATATATCCTTTGTGTTATGAACAACCCAGTTGTACTCTTTTAGTTATTTAAGAACATGCCATTCAATTATTATTAACTGTAGTTGCCACTTGGTGCTATCAAATACTAGATATTATTAATTATTTCTATTACTTTTGTACCCATTAGCCATTTCCATCTTCCCCCAAACCCACTACTCCCTTGCTGGTCTTCCCAGCATCTGGTAACCATCTTTTTTTTTTTTTTTTTTTGAGACGGAGTTTCACTCTTGTTACCCAGGCTGGAGTGCAATGGCAGGATCTGGCTCACTGCAACCTCCGCCTCTTGGGTTCAGGCAATTCTCCTGCCTCAGTCTTCTGAGTAGCTGGGATTACAGGCGCGCACCACCATGCCCAGCTAATTTTTTGTATTTTTAGTAGAGACGGGGTTTCACCATGTTGACCAGGATGGTCTCGATCTCTTGACCTCGTGATCCACCCGCCTCGGCCTCCCAAAGTGCTGGGATTACAGACTTGAGCCACCGCGCCTGGCCCTGGTAACCATCTTTCTACTCTCTATCTCTATCATCTTCAACTGTTTTAATTTTTACCTATCACAAATAAGTGAGAACATATGAGATTTGTCTTTCTTGCCTGGCTTATTTCACTTAACATAATGACCACCAGCTATATCCATGTTGCAAATGACAGAATCTCATTCTTTTTTACGGCTGAATAGTACTTCATTGTGTATATGCACCACATTATCTTTATCCATTCCTCTCTTGATGAACATTTAGGTTGCTTTCAAATCTTGGACATTGTGAACAGTGCTGCAACAAACATAATATCTTTTCAATATATCAATTTCCTTTCTTTTGGGTGTATATCCAACACTGGAATTGCTGGATTATATGGTAGCTCTATTTTTAGTTTTTGTGAAGAACCTCTTAATTGTTCACCATAGTGGCTGTACTCATTTACATTCTCACCAGCAGCATACCGGGGTTCCCTTTGCTCCACATCCTCGCCAGCATTTGTTATTGCCTGTCTTTTGGATAAGGGCCATTTTAAATGAGGTGAGATGTTTCATTGTTGTTTTCATTTGCATTTCTCTGATAATTAATGATGTCAAGTATCTTTTCATATACCTTTTAGCCATTTGTATGTCTTCTTTTGAGAAATGTCCATTCAACTATTTTGCATTTTTTAATTGGATTATTAGATTTTTTTCCTATTGAGTTGTTTGAGCTCCTTATTCTATTTATTAATCTCTTGTCAGATGGATAGTTTGTTAATATTTCTTAAATTCTGTGGGTTATTTCTTCAGTGTTTTTGTTCGTACTGTACATAAGCTTTTTAACTTGATGTGATCCTGTTTGTCTATTTTTGCTTCATTTCCTTTGCTTGTAGAGTATTATTCAAGAAATCTTTGCTGAGTCCAGTGTTCTAGAGCATTTCCTTGATGTTTTCTTGTAGTAGCTTCACAGTTTGTGGTCTTAGATTTACGTCCTTAACCCATTTTAATTTGATTTTTGTATATGATGACAGATAGGAGTCTTGTTTCAATTTTCTGCATATGAATATCCAGTTTTCCCAGAATTGTTTTTTAAAAATACTGTGTTTTCCCCAGTGCATCTTCCTGGCACTTTTGTCAAAAATGAATTCACTCTAGTTATGTAGATTTGTTTCTGGGTTCTGTATTCTGTTCTGTTGATCTATTTTTCTCATTTTATGCCAGTACCCAGCCATTTTAGTTACTATAGTTTTGTAGTAAACTTTGAAATCAGGTAATATGATTTTTCCAGTTCTTTTTGCTACAATATTTTTAGCTAACCTGGGTCTTTTGTGGTTCCATACAAATTTACAATTATTTTTTTCCCATTTCTGTGATTAATGTCATGTTATTTTGGTTGGGATTGCATTAAATCTGTAGATTGCTTTGAGTAGTATTGATATTTTAATAATGTTGATTCTTTCAATCTATGAACATGGAATATCTTTCCATCTCTTGTGTCCTATTTAATTTCTTTCATGAATGTTTTATAGTTTTCATTGTAGAGATATTTCCCTTCTTTGGTTAAGATAATCCTAGGTATTTAATTTTACATATGGCTATTATAAATAGGATTACTTTTAATGTTTCTGTCTCAGATTGTTCACTGTTAGCATATATTGATTTTTTATCCTGCATATTTTCTGCTTTGTTTGTTAGTTCTAACAGTTTTTTGATAGAGTCCTCAGGTTTTTCTAAATATAAGATTATATTATTTTTAAGCAATGATAATTTGACCACTTCCATTCCAATTTGGATGCCGTGTATTTCTTTCTCTTATCTGATTTCTCTAGCTAGGACTTCCAGTACTATGTTGAATGACAGTGGTGAAAGTGGGCATCCTTGTCATGTTCCAGATCTGAAAGGAAAACCTTTCTGCTTTTCCCCAATCAATATGATACAAGTTATATTTTTGTCATATATGGCATTTGTCATGTTGAGCTATGTTTCCTCTATATATTTTTATAGAATTTTGTATACCATCTCACGCCAGTTAGAATGGCGATCATTAAAAAATCTGGAGACAGCAGATGCTCGAGAGGATGTGGAGAAATAGGAACACTTACACTGTTGGTGGGAGTGTAAACTAGTTCAACCATTGTGGAAGACAGTATGGCGATTCCTCAAGGCCTTAGAAATAGAAATTCCAATTGACCCAGCAATCCCATTACTGGGTATATATCCAAAGGACTATAAATCATTCTACTATAAGGACACATGCACATGAATGTTCATTGCAGCACTGTTTACATTAGAAAAGACCTGGAGCCAACCCAGATGCCCATCGATGATAGACTGGACTGGGAAAATGTGGCACATATACACCATGGAATATTATGCAGCAATCAAAAATGATTAGTTCTTGTCGTTTGTAGGGACATGGATGAATCTGGAGAACATCATTCTCAGCAAACTGACACAAGAACAGAAAATGAAATACAGCATATTCTCACTCATAGGTGGGTGATGAAAAATGAGAACACATGGACACAGGGAAGGGAGTACTGGACACTGGGGTCTATTGGGGGGAAGAGGGGAGTGACAGTTGGGGGGGGATCTGGGGAGGGATAGCCTGGGGAGAAATGCCAAATGTGGGTGAAGGGGAAGAAGGCAGCAAAACACACTGCCATGTGTGTACCTATGCAACTGTATTGCATGTTCTGCACATGTACCCCAAAACCTAAAATGCAATTAAAAAATAAATAAATAAATAAATAAAATAAAAAAAGAATTTTGTCATAAAGCAATGTTAAATTTTATCAAATGCTCTTCCAGCATCAATTGAAATGATTCTATGGTTTTTGTCCTTCATTCTCTTGATGCTGATGTATCTTACTGATTGATTTGCATATGTTGAACCATCCTTGCATCCCTGGGATAAATCCCACTTGGTCACAAGGAATGATCTTTTTAATGGATTGTTAAATTCAGTTTGCTAGTACTTTGTTTAGGATTTTTGCATCAATATTTATGAAGATAGTCACCTATAGTCTTCTTTTTTTGAGGTGTCTTTGTCTGATTTCTGTATCAGGGTAAAACTGACCTCATAAAATATATTTATAAGTACTCCCTTCTCCTTTTTTAAAAAAATCATTTGAGTAGAATTTGTATTTGTTTTTTTAAGTGTTTGATAGAATTTAGCAGTAAAGCCATCAGGTCCCAGGCTTTTCTCTATTGGATGATTACTTACTATGGCTTTGGTCTCATTACTTGTT